ATGCATGGATGGGACACAAGCTGCGAGTGAACCCGCGAATAGGTTTAGATTAGAAAAGGTAGACGAAGGGGGATATAGGAGGTTGATTGGGGGGATGAGATGAGAGGCGTCAAGTCCAGAGGGAATGAGGGAAGGTTAACAACACACAGGCTGAATTCCCACCCACATTGTAATACACTTTCCACAGACCTCATAATGGAATATGCGTCTACTGTTATAAAAAGCATGTCAGTAACAGATGTTGAGACTTCTCAAAACGCACTCAAGTCATAAGTGCATCCGTTTCCACTTGTTATCGTCTCAAAATCCATGTACCGTGTTATGGTGTATCCAACAGCAGTTGTAACGGAGGTGTTTGTAATGTTCCACATCGCAGTCGGCTACACAGACTCCAGATCATGCCCGCTCATGTAGCATGGCCTCACCGCCACCCTTTACATGCCTTTGAAGGGCCTTAAATGCACCCATGCTACCACCACTGCTACCACCCATGCTACCACCCCTTATGTGCCTCTGAGGGGCCTTGAAAGGCATCCATTGAACAGCTCGTCTCGAGATACATACCTCATTATAGTGTATCCATCAGCAGTTGTAACAGAAGTATTCGATACACTCCACAAGGCGGTCGGCTGCACCGACTCCAAGTCATGCCCGCCCATGTAATACGGCCCCACCGCCGCCCCATTGGCCAGCGTGCCAGGTGGCAAGTTCCCAATGGCTGCGTCCGAGTTGCTCATCTTGCCATCCTTTGAGAAGCCCACCCCGATGTACCCCGAGGTGGCCACCTGCGCTGCCATGCTCACTGTGTTATCCCTGTTGACTGCCCAGTGCAGGACGTAGCTGAGGAGGGGGGAGACGGGAGGGGGGAGACGGGAGGGGGGAGACAAGGGAAGAGGCAGAGAGAGAGAGAGAGCAACTCAAGCCCACCCCGATGTACCCTGCGGTGGCAACCTGCGCTGCCATGCTGACCGTGCTGTCTTAGTTCGCTGCCCAGTGGAGGATGTGGCTGGGAGGGAAGGGCGGGCATGGAGAGCATGGGAGGACAAACGACTTTCACAAGGTATGGGACGGCTCGGAGCAAAGCCTACGCCCACTCAGTCTCGGAGCAAAGCCTCCGCCTACTCCGTCTTGGAGAAAAGGCTTCACCTCACACCCAAACCCAATGACTAACACTTGAGATCCAGGGACTTGATACCAAAACACAACACAGTGTACTCGTGCCTTCCTGCTGAGCTACAGGGAGCAGGTGCAGCCTGGCTGGCAGGGAGGACGGTTGACAAGGAGGTTCCTTGGATTGAGACGAGCTAGTGGCATTAGTGAGCTGCACGGACCACGTGTAGCCCGGCAGGGAGGACGGCTGGCTGGGAGAGCCATTGAATTGAGGCGAGCTGATGGTGTTGGCATGCACTATGTTCCACGGGCTGCCACTCCTACAGGTGGCACTCACGCATTCTTGCTGAGCTGCACGGACCACGTGTAGCCCGGCAGGGAGGACGGCTGGCTGGGAGAGCCATTGAATTGAGACGATGACCCGGCGCTGCTGCCGGTGGAAGAGGGGCAGCTGTAGTCCACAGAGAGGAATGCCCTGGGGGGATGAAGGCAGAGAGGGAAGAAATAGCGGAGGAAAGACGGTGAAGTGAAGGGCACAGAAGGGCGTAGCGGTGCTGCTGCCGCTGGAAGAGGGGCAGCTGAAGTCCACTAAGAGGAATCCCCTGGGGCAGATGGGAGAGAGGCAGGGAGAGGCGCAGGGAGAGGCGCAGGGAGAGAGGCAGGGAGAGAGGCAGGGAGAGAGGCAGGGAGAGAGGCGGTAAAGAGGAGAAGAGGGGTGGAAAGAACATGAAGAGAAGCGCGGGAGAGCCCTGGCATTGATCTGCTGCTGATGCTGAAAGAGGGCAGCTGAAGTCCACTGACAGGAATCCCCGGAGGGAAGGGGGGAAGAGAGAAAGGTAGTAAGGGGGGAAGGGGGGAAGGGGGGAAGGGGGGAAGGGGGGAAGGGGTGGAGCAACGGAGCAGAGGACAAAGAGGGAGCAAAGATGGGAGGGTGGCATACGTGTTGGATGGGTGATGCTAGGAGGGGCTTACAGGTTGGTTCGGGGGTGCGGTGTGAGAGTCTGAGAGCCATCGGAGAAGGCACAGATCATGTAGTTGACTCCCCTCAGGAGCACCTTCACACTGCCGTCATTGATCGACCGCGAAAACCTGCATATAAACGCACAGACGAGGGGCACAATAACGGGTACAAAGGGCGCATGTCGGAGCAGGGGTGCTGGGCGAGGGTCTGGGAGCCATTGGAGAGTAAGTCCATGTCATGTGGTTGACTCCCCTTAAGAGCACCTTCACACTGCCGTCGTTGATCGACCGTGAGAGCCTGTTATAAGAGCAGAAACGAGGGGCACATTAACGGGAACAAAAGCAAATGTTGGAGCCCTGTCAAGATCATGTGGTTTCTGCACTGACTGACGTCAACTGTCTATCACGAGCCTTCAACGAGTGCAATGGCGGCTACAGCAGCAATGGGCAGGGGAGGTGGGGCATGGTTGCAAGGGATTCGTCCAGTAAGAGGACTTCCTGTTAGTGACCCCTCTTGTTTTTGTTTTGTTTTTTGCTTGTTGCTCCCTTAAAAAAAATGTATATATATATATATATATATATACACACACATATATTGATACACAGCGTGTATCTAAGCTAATGTGCCCCCCTTTCTTCAATATAAAGGAACGAGTTGTCGGCATTGTGGATCAGCACGACCTCTCGTCCCTCTCTCAACATGCCCTCTCGCCCCTCTCTCAGCATGACCTCTCTCCCGCGCTTTCAGTGCTGAGATTCTTCGTCCGAACCACCTTATGTAAGGCGCAGCAGTCCAGGTAATAAGCGTCCAATACCCTCCCCCCTCCTTCCCCTCCCCCCCCTCCCCCCCCCCCCCTTTTCCCCCCTCCCCCACCCGTTCACTGAAACTCACCTCATAATGAACGACTTGTCCGAATTCTTGGTCAGCAGCGCGTCGCTCCCAGCGCGCCCAATGCTGAAATTCGTGGTGGGAACGACCGCATCCAGTGCGTAGTATCCCAGGGAGTAGGCGCCCATCTTGCCGCCCGGCAGATTGCCGATCACCGCCTCTCCTGGCACCATCTTGCCGGACGACTCCGACCACCCGACGGCGAACCAGCCGGCTGCAGCCGGGCCGGCAAGCGCTTGAGCGGCGAAGTTGACGGTCGTTGAGTTGACGACCTTCCAGTGGAGGATGAGACTGGCAGGAGGGGAGACGCGGGGAGGGGAGAAAGCGAAGGGGAGACAGAATGGAGGGGAGATCGAGAGGAGGGGAGGAGGAGGGTAAGAAGGGGAAAAGGGAAACAGTCGATCGATAACAGAGGGCGAGACGAAGGGGAAAAAAATAATCGTGCGGGAGTTGCCATTCTCGGGCAGAAATCGTCAGCTCTCGGGCAGAATCGTCAGTTCTCGGCTACTGGCAATAGGATTCGCTATAAGCTCTTAGAGCTCCGGGGACGAGCATCGGAAGGGATGGTCGCGCCCAGCTTGCCTTTAAATAATGGCCTCCGAGGCGAATTTGTGCGAATGTGCGAATTTGTGCGAAACAGGAGCAGGCAGTCAACTTGACGGAGCGGCGGGAAGATTACCTGCCAGCTTTCAAATTGACGGAGTACTGGTAATCCGGCAAAGAAGACGGTTCGCACGCTACACCGCCATATCCTCCTTCTCCTCCGGTTCCTCCGCCGTAAGTTCCGCCGCTGTTTCCGCCATCGTCCTGAGCAGCTACGAAAGCCGCGAATGGCAGCGTCAGCAGACACGGTACGACGACGGCTAGTAAGAAGATATTCCTTGGAGCCATCGCGCACATTAATATTATATGCTTAGGTGCCGTGTTTTACCGGCGGTAAGCCTACGACAGCGATCAGTGGATTTCGTCCAACGACGGTCAGGCCTAGGGAAGGCGCACGTGAACTTGGAGACTCAGTGACGCTGTCATCACAGGTACCTGCGTAGGTGCGGAAAATTGCTGCCTGAAGTACAGATACCTGAAGAGTCGATACTGCTTGGAAACGCGTGGGATGGAATGTCAATGACAGGTGAACAATTTCTTTGGAATCAGAAACTGCTACCTTGCTGCTACCCTGAATCGGCTCCAATAATGGTGAACAATCTCTTCCTTACCTGGAGTCCACTCTGATAATTGTGAGCTAAGGACCAGCAGAAAGGACCAACAGACAGGCACACTGACAGACACAGAAAAAGGAGCCACAATAAGGGCGTGGAACATTTTTTTGAACATGGTTTTATTTTCGAGCCTGTATTCCCAGTCTGTTTTCGCAAAAATTCGCAAAGAGCGACGCCAAGACAAACCTCGAGACGAACGTGCTGGTGTTCCCTGCTAGACCAGCGTGGAACACTTTTTTGGGTTTGGAAATTTCGAGTTGTCGCGACACTTTTGCGAGCACAAAGTGGTACTTCCGCAAACAAACTGGTGTTCGTTCAATGGCCATGAGAATGTTCCACGCCCTAAGCCAATCGGGAGCAAATCTGGCACCATGGAGATTTACAGGAGAGATCGAAGGGCGGCAGAGGGAATTGAGCGGCACGGATCTTTGCTGCTTGGTTCGGCTGTGGATATGCGTGAAACGCAATGCACTATGACGACTCAGTAACGAGTATGCGGTTGTGCCAGCTCTCCATTGCCTCACGCGCAGGATGAAATGCGTAGGCGATGGTGTGTCATCGGTCAGTGTGCGGGGAAACTGGTGGCGGCGGAATTCATGCAAGGCGGAACGGAAACCCTTTGCAGCGCTGCTGCCTCATTGGTCAAGCGGGTTTCCTGGTTGCGCGTCAATGGACAACGCGTTCCCCGCAAGTACCGCTTCCGCCCAGCTTATGGCTAGCTGAACCGCGTGAGGCTCTTCTGTCTTGCAGCCGCCGGACTGCACATAAATTCGATACAGTGCAGTACACGACCCGCAACAGATGCGTGCCAAGCAGTCCTGTTTGGCCCGGGAAAAGTTTCAGATAATAATGCGAAGTGTATTTATGCTTCTCAACGTTGTGTGGTGCAATACAAACTATTGTTGGTCCCTTCGAACCACACGAAGAACATCCCCCACAAGGTGCAGCGAACCTGTGACTAACACCTGCAAATCCACATTTGGATGCATCTTAGCCGTCCATCCCAGCAGATCGACGGCTGCTGGCAGTGATGGCAGCACAGCACTGCTAGGGCCCAGAGATGCCACGCCGGGTGAAATCAACGGCCAGGATAACTCCACCATGTCTCGCGATTCCGCTCCTCGTGCTGCAGGTTGTGCTAGTGATGCTAGACATTGAGTCAGACCGCGAGGCACAAGGAAAGAAGCAGGGATTGAATCAGCGGCATGAGCACCAGAACCAGCAGCACCAGAACCAGCAGCATCTGCAGCACCAGCAGCACACAGTGGCTGTTGCAGCTGTTCCCACGTCCGCTGCATGGATAGCTGCCAGTCCAAGCTGCTTCGGCCGAGGCTGCTGCTCTGGCTCGTCATGGCAACAGTGGCGCCCGCAGAATCAGATGAGGGAAGAGGAGAGGGAGAGGAGGAGGAGGGAGAGGGGAGGAGAGCAGTGTAGGAGGAGAGGGAAGGGACAAAGAGGGCTCGGTGGAGGGACAGGCCTGCAGAGGCAAGGGCATGGGAAATGCAGAGACAGAAGGATAAGAGCCCAGCCAGCAAGAACAGCAAGTGGGTGCGAGGGAGAAGGGCATGATGAGAGGGCATGCAATCAGGGTGACGGTTGTGCGCGTGGATCAAGTGATGCACGACCTCCGAAACCGGCAGACTGCTTTCAGGCGTACCTCTGCGCTCGAGCGTCTTGAGCAGCTGGGCCATGAGAGTGTGCGGGTCCCTTTCAGGCATGCAGTTGAACAGCAGCACCTGCGACAGCAGTGCAATTCCACAGGGTCAGTCCATGCTATGCAAACCACAGGCAACTGGCAACTGGCCAGTGCCAAGTGCCAAGTGGCAAGTCCCAGGGGCCAAGTGGCAAGTGCCAATTGGCAAGTGGCAAGTGGCAAGTGCCAAGTGCCAAGTGGCAAGTGCCAACTGGCAAGTGGCAAGTGCCAAGTTGCAAGGCAGCGTTAGCCATCATTCACAAGTCCTCCTTACCCGCACAGGCTTCTTGGCCTCCACTTGGTTTAACCCTTCCACCCCTGCTGATGCTGCTGTTGCCTGTGCCGCTGTTTCTGCAGCTAACTCCACCTTTTCTCCTCTTTCTCCTCCGTCTCCTCTTTGTCCTCTTTCTCCCCCTGCACCCCTCGAAGCATCACAGAACCACTCCCCGCACACCTCCATACTCTCTACAGTATGGGCACCATCCAAAAAGAAAGTCAGCTGCCCGCCTGCAGTTCCAGCCTGCCCAGGCTCGGCTGGGCAATCCTGCAGAATTTCGCACCTGCCCGGCCATGAGGCACTCCCCAAGCCTGCTATGTAGGCAGGTGGCAGCGTTTTATTGGCCAGCGCCTGATCCAGGTGAATGGGGGAAAGGAAGTGACCAGGTCGAGGGAGAAAGGATGGATACTTGAAACTGTGTGACTTTTGAGTCGACTCAAAAGTCACCTCGAAAGGATGGATAATTGAAACTGTGAAATGATGGGTGTTACAGGTGCGTATTGTAGGAAGGAACTGTGGAATCTAGCCCTGTGATACTGGAAGGACGGCAGTCGCTACACTACAACACGCCTTAACACAGCAACAAGCGACCCTCTCTCCCTCTCCTCCAACTCATGCACCCAGCGCGCTAGCCTCATTGAGTCAGCTGCACCTCCTCTTTCCCCGCGCTGCACAGGGACACGACTCACCTCCAAGAGTGCCTGTAGATCTGTTGAAAACTGCTGCATGAGGAGGCTGACATGTACCTGAATGGCTGGCACACAGCAGCTCACCTCACAACAACTTGCTCTTGCCAGCCATGCAGGAACAACTCATCTGATCGAGTGCCTTTTGAGTCGACTCAAAAGTCACCTTGGTCGTGCCAGCCATGCAGGGACAACTCACCTGATCGATTGCCTTTTGAGTCGACTCAAAAGTCACCTTGGTCGTGTCGTGCCAGCCATGCAGGGACAACTCACCTGATCGATTGCCTTTTGAGTCGACTCAAAAGTCACCTTGGTCGTGCCAGCCATGCAGGAACAACTCACCTCATCGAGTGCCCGTGCTTCCTCCATTCTCCCACTTCGGATGGCCCACTGGCGGCACAGAGCCACCGCCAGGGAGGCGTTGATCTGCTGGTGCTTGCCGGCCAGTCCCACGTGCACACCTGGAGCAATCTCGTGCAACGGTTTCGCCACCTCAAGAGGAATCTATGGGATGAAGAGGGGGGGGAGATAAAGCGGGGATTTGGAAGTGAAGGGGGTGACAGAGATGAGAAGAAAGGAAGAGAGACAGTTCCTCTGACTCTGAAGGACGAAGGTTGACAGATGGGGGATGAGGATGCACAGATGGGCGGCTGAGGATGCACAGATGGGCGGCTGAGGATGCACAGATGGGCGGCTGAGGATGCACAGATGGGCGGCTGAGGATGCACAGATGGGCGGCTGAGGATGCACAGATGGGCGGCTGAGGATGCACAGATGGGCGGCTGAGGATGCACAGATGGGCGGCTGAGGATGCACAGATGGGCGGCTGAGGATGCACAGATGGGCGGCTGAGGATGCACAGATGGGCGGCTGAGGATGCACAGATGGGCGGCTGAGGATGCACAGATGGGCGGCTGAGGATGCACAGATGGGCGGCTGAGGATGCACAGATGGGCGGCTGAGGATGCAGGGTCAGGGACGCTGAAGTAGTCACCTGCTTGTGAGATTTCTCAAGGCTCAAAACCAGTGTCAAGGCTCAAGGACCTTGAGACAGTTTAAAAGTGAGGATGCAGGGTCAATGAGACTGGATGGTAGCGTTGCTGTGTCGACAATCGACTTGACATTGTTGGCTCACGAATCTTGAGACGTCTCAATAACTGGGCCTGAGGCGCTGGTACTGCTGTGCTCCCTCACACCAACGTTCCATCACATTCACACACCCTCGCTCCCACACAGCCACACAGCCACACGCCTACACGCCTACACACCAGCCACACACCTGGAGCTCCTCTGCCCGCTGCCTGAGCACCTCCATTGCCTCCTGGCCCTGTGGCGCTGCCACTACTGCTACCCCTCGCACCACTGTACTCACACTCCCACACACCCTCACTCCCTCACACCCTCTCATCTCACTCACACACCTGGGGCTCCTCTGCTCGCTGCCTGAGCACCTCCATTGCCCCCTGCTCCTGTGGCGCTGCCACGGCCGCTGTCCCTCACACCAACATACCATCACATCCACACCTCGTCGCACCCTCACACACCCATTCACACACCCATTCACACACCCATTCACACACCCATTCACACACCCATTCACACACCCATTCACACACCTGGAGCTCCTCTGCCCGCTGCCTGAGCACCTCCATTGCCTCCTGCTCCTGCGGCGCTGCCACTGCTGGCACTCCTGGCTGTGGGGCGGGGGGGGAGAGGGGGAGGAGACAAGAAGAATGGGGAAGGAGAGGGGCGGAAGAGAATAGTCCCACTCCTGCCCTTTCATCCCTCCACAACCCCTCACAACCCCTCCACAACCTCCCAGCACTCTACACTACTCCCCCCCACTTCTCCACTTTCTCCCACCCAATACTCTCCCCCTCCCCCCCCCTCTCCTCCCTCCTGCCCCAACCCCCCCCCCTCTCACCTTAAATATCCCGGCCTTCTCGCCAGCTATGAGAGCCAGGGTGTTTCCTGGAATTTTTGCAACAGCCACAGAGGAGGTAGCGTTGGAAGTGACACATAGGGGGAAGAAGCGAGACAGAGCCAAATGAGTGGACAAGGGTGGAAGGAGGGTGAAAATAGGTGGTAAGGGGTGGAAAGGGGTGGAAGGGATGGGGGAACGGGTGGAAGGGGATGTTTGAAGGCAGGGAAGAAGGGGAGGGAGCGGAGAACAGGAGACAGCGAACGGCCAATAGCAAAAGAGTTAGAGAACTGCAGCGAAGTGGGGATGGCGAAGGGGAGCTGGCGAAGAGAAAACCCATGCCCACAGATCCCCTGACCCACTGACCCCTGATTCACAGACCCCCTGATCCACTGACCCACAAACCCCCTGACACCTTGGCCACAGACCCCCTGACACCTTGGCCACAGACCCCCTGACACCTTGGCCACAGACCCCCTGACACCTTGGCCACAGACCCCCTGACTACCTGATCCCCTGGCCACAGTCTCACATAGCAGCTCCACGTGGTCGAAGCCCAGCGACGACACGCCACACACTGCTGGGTGGGGCTTCCGTTAATCACACAAGGCCTTCTAGCGCACGACATGTGTGCAAGCGCATAACCCACTGCCCCCCACTGCCCCCCACTGCCCCTCTGCCCCACTGTCCCCCTGCTCCCCTGCCCCCCTGCCCCACTGCCCCACTACCCCCCTGCCCCCCTGCCCCACTGCCCCACTGCCCCTCACACAGACTGACCCACCAGCTCCATGTGGTCGAAGCCCAGCGACGAAACGCCAGACAGTGGGGCTTCCCGTTAATCATAAAGGTCTACTAGTGCACGACATGTGTGCAAGCACATAACCCACTGATCCCCCCTGCCCCCCTGTCCCCCTGCCCCCCTGCCCCCCTGTCCCCCTGTCCCCCTGTCCCCCTGTCCCCCTGCCCCCCTGCCCCGCTGACCCCCTGCCCCACACACTGCTGGGTGGGGCTTCCCGTTAATCACACAGACTGACCCAGCAGCTCCATGTGGTCGAAGCCCAGCGACGAAACGCCACACACTGCTGGGCGCTTGACCTGGAGGGGGGTCGTGGAACGAGGAAGGGGGAATCAAAGGGGAAGACGGGGGGGGGAATGATGGGGGTAAGGGGAAGACGAGGGGGGGAATGATGGGGGTAAGGGGAAGACGAGGGGGGAATGATGGGGGTAAGGGGAAGAAGGACGAGGTGTGACACGCTGCAGTGTGGGTGTGCGCTTGACCCTCAAATGGTGCAGAAACAGGTGGGAATCAGGAAAATGGAGGGGAGAGGGACGGAGGAGAGGGGAGATGGCAGAGGGGGAGACCGAGGACAAGCAGATCGGGCCCTTACAATGTTCGTGGCGTCGAATCTTCCGCCAATGCCCACCTCCAGAATCGCCACGTCAACCTGCCACGTAGGACAAGGACCAGAAAGTATCTGAGCGAACCTGCCACGTAGACCAAGTATATGGCTGAGATTTCAAGGACGTAGGTACATCTCAAGCCTTTTGAGTCGACTCAAAAGTCAATGGGTACAGGAGCTTGCCTGGCTTTGGGTGAAGATGCGAAGGGCGAGCAGAGTGAGGAGGTGGCTTGTGAGGAAGCACAGTGAGGAGCAGAGTGATGTGGCTTAAAAGGCTTAAAACGTTTTAAGGGTGAGGAAGCAGTGAGTCTGGAGTTCAGAAGTCAGAAAGACAGAGAAGCTTGCCTGGCTTTGAGTGAATATGCGCAGGGCGAGCAGAGTGAGGAAGCGGAAATACGCCGGCATGGGAGTGGGGGACGAGGAGGAGGACGCTGCCGCCTGGAGGGGGTGGGGGAATGGAGAAGGGGGAGTGCAGTGCAGCAATGGAGACGGCGGAATAAAGGCGCAGGCAAAGGGCACATGCTGCACATGGCTTGGTTCATGCGGGCACGACATGACATGACATGACATGACATGACATGACATGGCAGGATCGAAGGAAGCAAGGGCGTTGGTAAGGGGGGATAAGCGCATTTGATGGCACCAAGAAGAAACCTACTAGCCTCCCAACTTGCAGCTGTCGTATTACGTACGTTCAAAGACACCCAGCAAGTAGCCTAGCAGCCACTCACCTTGCACCTGTCGTAGCACCACCAGAAGTGCTGCAGAAATGTATCGACTGGCACCATCTCCCTGCCGATGCAGGAAAGCAAGAGGTGGGGCAGGGGGGGAGGGGGGGAGGGGTGGAGGGGATGAGGACTTGAAGTGAAAACCTTGTTACACAAGCCTGAAGCATTCAATCGATCAGCCGAAACCACCCAAATAGCCTAAACTCTCTGACGTCTCACATCTTAAGTCCAAAGCTTGAACAAATTACAGAGATCGTAAAACCCTACCGTTCACCCGTTGAGGCGGAACCGCTCCCTGACGTCCACAAGGTGCGGCGAGGTGTGAAGCGACCCGTGGCGTGGCCACTGGCTCGATTCGTTCATCCAGTAAGCCCAAACCCCTCACTCGTAAACCCCTCCCCCCTCACCCGTTGAAGCACCCATTGAGCAGGGACCACTCACCCGTTGAGGCGGAACCTCTCCCTGACGTCCACCAGGTGCGGCGAGGTGAAGAGCCCCGTGGCGTGGCCACTGGCCCTCAGCATGCTCTCTGCCATGGCGCACGTGGAGCCCTGGGGGGGTGGGTTGGGGGGGGTAGAGAAGACAGAATGAGAGTGAGAGAGAGGGAGGAGCATAACTGGGGAGGCCTGTGGAGTGGCCACTGGCTGGCTGGCCCGTAGCATGCTCTCTACCATGGCGCATCTGGAGCGCTGTGAAACAAGTGGGAGAAGGAGCATCAGTAGAGGCATTATACTGCAAAAACGAAGCAGTTGAATCTAAACTCGGGTGGTTGCGGGGAGACAGCCGCACTCCAACCCAATAAGGAATCTTTCTCAAGCCACACATTCCATTTCGTGCCATGCCATGGCAGATGCCAATGGTGGCATGCCATGCATGCCATTTCATGGCGTTGGTTCCTTGCCTTGCCTTTGGTTCCTGCCACGTGGATGATGCTGAGCTGGTCGAGCGGTCCCTCCAGATCAAGCACCTGACAACAAGAATACCAGTCGTTACAGTCACAGACGACAGGAGAGGGAATTTGTGAGAACTTATACCACCTGCGCTGATATTTCGGCTCAGAGAGCAAGGATTGCAACTAATGGAAGGATTCTTTACAACGTGCGATAACAGCAAATACGCGGAATTGTGATGAAGGGAAGCGGACGGGGATCGTCGCGGAATCGCCTCGCGAATTACCAGAGACCTTAGAGCACTCGAAAGTATCCATGTGCTGTGTTTGATTCGGCCTCAGATAGCCAGTAGACGAACCTTGACGTAGGAGCGCATGAGAGCGAAGGCATCCCCCCAGTTTGAGCCATCGGCGCGCTTCCGCTGATTAATTAAACCTGACAGCGCCGCTAGTGCTGCCTCATAGCCACGCGGATCAACCTCATTGGCTCGCGACTCGACCTCCATTCGCCTGTCAGTTGATTGAATTTCAGGCACCATTGAGTGGACAGCTTCTCCAAATGGTGGATTAAGAGACACTAGTGACCTGGTGACCCTCGTGAATGATTTTAGGTGATCTAGTGTCCCTTGGCGGGGAATAGCGCAAAATGTGGTCGTTTGTGTTATTCGCGGTACGGGCGATGCTGGTGCGACGGATAGACGGCGATCGCGAGCGTTAGCGGTAGAAATTAGCGATAAATCGGCGAGGGGAGACGAGGAGGCGATTCTGCAGATCGAAAGGTGTGACTGAAAGAGGAGGAATGGGAGGGAACGCCCCGAAGGGCGAAGCCTGATCATTGGCAGCAGCGCTGGAAGGAAGGCTATGCCATGATAGCTCCCATTGTTCTTGCTGCGACGCTTCAGCGGAGCTGACGACGCACTCGGCGCGTTTGGCGCAAGGTTGTGTGTCAGTCAGTCAGGCATCAGGACGTAATCAGTCTGGAAACTGGCCTCGAGATTGCTGAAAGATGTTTTGACATAACAGGCTTCCTGTTATTGGCGATAAGTTTGACAGGCTTCGTGTTACAGATTCCTAGTCCTAAGTGGTATCTATCGAGGCCACCGATATCGAGAATTGCATTGCTGACCAGATGAATATAAACTGTTGACGTGGGATGCCACAGCAGCAGAATGGGTATCCACGTCAATCACCTGCCACGAAAGCTAGAAATCGGGGTGAAGTGGCCCCAGCCCAGTCCACCAGCCCAATCCAATGTGACGAAATCTGGCATCCATCTCTAGACACGTGCACTGGGCCATCTGGCCAAATTTTCGCGCCAAGGGGCATGTCAGAAAGAGCGACAGCAGATTGATCGGACGGTCAGCATTGCATTGACCTTCAAGAACCACTGGCGTTGGGGATCCATCGTCGGATTTCACGCAACGTCCACAGCGCCACCAGACAATTCCAAGGAACCCGTTCTGCCAGAATCTTCAGGTGTGCTGGCTGGGTGCCGCTGCAACTCAGAACAGCTCATCCGCAAGACTTCAGGCAGCTTGTCAGGAAGAGAGACAGCATGCTTATCAAGGTGGAAGTACATCAGATTCCTATCACTCCAGATTGCATTGCCAGTAAAATCCGGAAACAGCCTTCTGCAAGCAGCTCTCGTCTTATTCAATTCCTCGGCTTATCTCTTGAAAATCTGTCTCTATTTGCGGTTCATTGGCGAAAGCGGGACACAGGAATCAGTATCAATGGCTACCATTGCACCTCCTCGACCACAGGAATCAGTATCGACGGCTACCATTGCAACTGCTCGCAAGCTGCAAGTGAAGGACCCTGTGCCGGCCGATATTGTCATCGCACAGTCCGTAGAGCCGACGCCGATATCTGAGATTGCCAAGGCTGTTGGTCTGCAGCCGTCCGAGTACGAGCTCTACGGGAATCTCAAGGCTAAGGTAAGAGAATTCCTCTCCCTTTAGAGAGCTACTTTCCGTGAATCTCTCAGAGCTAAGCCATTTACGTCGCGTCCTCAGCTTAGTCCACTGAAGAGCCATTCTTTCTTGCACCCTTATTTCGACGCATTTCAGGTTTGCTTGTCCGTGAAGGACCGGCTGAAGGACGCAAAGGAGGGATATTATGTGCTGGTTGCGGGAATCTCACCAACGCCGCTAGGAGAGGGCAAATCCACCACCACCATCGGGCTCGCACAGGCCCTTGGAGCCCACCTCGACAAGGCGGTGAGTCTAGACATAGCTCGTTTGGAGGGGAAGTGCAGCGTATGTTAAGTTACGTTCATTTAACTGTACCTTGACGCGCTGATGTCTTTCTTGTACAAGAACAATCACCAGGATAAAAATGGAAACATATTACCATGAACTTGTTCTGCCCTTTCCGTCTGGCCTGATTTCCTTCGTGTGAGCAGTGCATTGCGTGCATCCGTCAGCCGAGCATGGGACCCACCTTTGGCATCAAGGGAGGAGCAGCCGGAGGAGGCTACAGCCAGGTACGATTAACTAATTGGTTCGCAATGCGTTGGCCCTTGCTGCCGCTTTTATCTCAGAGAGGCTAATGAACCACGACACTAAAGTCAGGCTAAGCATGAACCATAGTTACCCGTGAACCATCGACGTTCGACAGGCTAGACGCCTGCGTTGAGCTGGTTTGTCTCTGTCTCCACGAATCCTCTCCATCCCATCCCAGATGATCCCGATGGAGGACTTCAACCTCTATCCCGCTTTCAATAGGCTGTCATTCTTTCTACCCCCTAAACTTTCTACTTCCTATCCCAGGTGATCCCGATGGAAGACTTCAACCTGCACCTCACCGGCGACATCCACGCCATCACCGCGGCCAACAACCTCCTCGCCGCCGCCATCGACACTCGAATCTTCCACGAAGCCGCTCAGTCTGACATGGCGCTCCTGCGCCGCCTGTGCCCGGCGGACAAGGAGGGCAAGCGGCGGTTCTCTCCGGTCATGCTCCGGCGGCTGAAGAAGCTGGGGATCGAGAAGAGTGACCCTGACGCGCTGAGCGAGGACGAGGTGCGGCGGTTCGCGCGGCTGGATATCGACCCGGAGAAGATCACGTGGCGCCGGGTGATGGACATCAATGATAGGTGCGTGATCGTGTCTGTCTGTGCGTGATGAGAATGCGTGAGCTGCTAGCTGTCTGTGCGTGACGATAATGAGTTAGCGGTTAGTTGCCTGTGCGTGACGAGAACGCGTTAGCTGTTAGTTGTCTGTGCGTGACGAATACTGAACCCTTTTGCGGCATCAAACCCACCTCCACCATCTTCGCTTTCCCCCCCCTGCTCGCTGCAGGTTTCTGCGCGGTATCACCATAGGGCAGGGTCCGGAGGAGCGGGGGCTGACTCGTCAGACGGGGTTTGACATCAGCGTGGCGAGTGAGATCATGGCCGTGCTCGCCCTCACCACGTCGCTGGACGACCTGCGGGAGAGGCTGGGCCGCATGGTCATTGGCAGCAGCAGAGCGGGCGACGCCATCACTGCTGACGACCTCGGGATTGGTGGCGCGCTGACGGTCATCATGAAGGTGAGCAGCGCTTGCTGGACGACCTCCGCTTTGAGTCGACTGAAATGCATCATTGCTGATGACCTCGGGGTCGGTGGGGCGCTGACGGTCATCATGAAGGTGAGCAGCGCTTGCTGAAGAGGCTGGGCCGCATGGGTATCGGCACGAGTAGGGAAAGCGACGCGATTATAGCGGTTGGCCTGGGGATTGGTGGGGCGCTGACGGTCATCATGAAGGTGAGCAGCGCTTGCTGGACGACTAACGGGAGAGGCTGGGCCGCATGGTTACTGGCACGACTGGGCCGCATGGTTATCGGTACGAGTAGGGCGGGCGACGCGATTACAGCGGATGACCTCGGGATTGGTGGGGCGCTGACGGTCATTATGAAGGTGAGCAAGCAAGCAGGTGCTGGGTTGCCGAGCTCTCTTGCTAAGATGGAATGAGACTCGACTGCAGCAAGCCAATCAGACGTCACGTGTGGTGAGCACGCAGGTGCTGGGGTTGCGAGGTCTCGGTTTCCCTGTTGCCTACACTCAATATTCCCAGGCTGTGAAGCTGTTGCTTCTCCCAGGTGTTGTTGCCCTTTCATTTCTCGTTCTCCTCTTCCCGTCCCTCCCCCCCTCTCCTTGCATCCCTTCCCTTTTCCCTCCAGGACGCCATCCGCCCCACGCTGATGCAGACCCTCGAGGGCACGCCCGTGCTGGTACACGCGGGCCCCTTCGCCAACATCGCGCACGGCAACTCGTCCATCATCGCGGACCAGATCGCGCTCAAGCTCGTAGGGGAGGGCGGCGTCGTGTGCACTGAGGCGGGGTTCGGCGCTGACATTGGCGCAGAGAAGTTCTTCAACATCAAGTGCAGGTGGGCTGATAGGGGGTCGAGGTATTGAAAGGAGGGACACGTGGTCAGGTTAGCAGAGGGACAGGGTTTGGATCGCTTTCGTATCGCACGGCAACTGATAGTACCAGCAACTGATGATGCCGCCAACATCGCGCACGGCAACTCGTCCATCACTGCTGACCAGATCGTGCTCAAGCTCGTGGGGAAGGGCGGCGTTGTGTGCACGGATGCAGGGTTCGGGGCTGACTCGGTGCAGAGAATTTCTTCAACATCAAATGCAGGTGGGCTGATGGGTGCCTCAATACAAGTATCAACTGAGCAAGCAGGACAGGCGGGGTCTGGGGCGGACAATGGGCCGGAGAAGCTCTTCAACGTCAAGTGCAGTGCAGGAAAGAGGAGGGGCAGGTAACAGGTGAGGGACAGGCATTTAGAGAGCTTAGAGACAGGTGCCAGGCAAGCAGCAGGTTTAGAGGCGGCCCAAAGCCAAGGATTATGCAATGATAGTGGCACACAACATGCACCCTCGCTCCCTTTCCACGATTCACCCTTTTCCCCCGAGCAGGTACAGTGGTCTGCGCCCGCACTGTGCAGTGATTGTGGCAACGGTGCGCGCGCTCAAGATGCACGGAGGCGGCCCAGCAGTGGCGGCAGGGAAGCCCCTTGACCACGCATACACCTCAGAGAACGTGGACTTAGTCGCCAAGGGGTGTGCCAACCTCGTCAGGCACATAGAGAACACGAGGCGGTACGGCGTCGCAGTGGTGGTGGCGGTGAACCGGTTTGCTGCGGATACCGAGGCTGAGCTGGAGGAGGTTCGGAAGGCAGCTTTGGCGGCAGGCGCGGTGGATGCCGTTGTGTGCTCGAACTTCGCTCATGGAGGGGCGGGCGCGGTAAGAGTTTCCTTCTATCGCTTTGTCAACTCTTCCTTTTATGTGGAAAATGACTTCACCTGCCACCACCTCCCAAACCCTTCTTCCTCCCACCTGCTTCCATTCTCCCTTTCCTTTTATCTTTAGATTCCTGGCGCATGCCATCCCCACCGCCTGCTGCCATTCTCAGACCCATTTTCTCCTTGTCTCTTTCTCTGTGCCATCCTCATCTCCTGTTGCCGTCCGCAGGCAGCACTGGGAGCAGCAGTGGTGAAGGCATGCAGTGATGTGGCGGCCAGGGGGGCGAGTGGGGAGAGTGGGTTCAAGTTCCTCTATGACCTGGACCGCAGCATCAAGGAGAAGATCGAGACCATTGCCACCGTCACCTACGGTGCTGCTGGAGTGGAGTACTCGCCTGAGGTATGCATTTGTTGCAGAGTAGCGTGCACATGTGTGTGCGTGCGCGCCTTCACGTCTGTGTGTATGTGCACGCGTGTGCGTGCATGTGTATGCTAAAATGCTTCTTTCATGCCTGACAACGGTATGCCTGAAAGTGTGTGCAGTGACATACCACAGTGTTCTATAGGCGATGCTGGCAACCCATGCGAGTGCGCGCGCTTGAACGATGTGGAGGGATAAGCTAAAACAAGGAACAAATAATTCTCCCCATTCACCCCTCCACCTCCTTGTCCCAGGCTGAGGCCAAGATTGAGCAGTACACAAAGCAAGGATTCGCCAATCTGCCCATATGCATGGCGAAGACACAGTACTCCTTCTCCCATGATGCGGCTCTCAAGGGCGCTCCTTCCGGTTTCACCCTTCCCATCCGGGACGTGAGGGCGAGTGTTGGTGCGGGGTTCATCTTCCCGCTCGTGGGTACCATGAGCACCATGCCTGGATTGCCCACTAGGCCATGCTACTTTGACATAGATCTCGACACAACGACCGGCGACATTATTGGTTTGTCATGATACATTTGAAGGGTGTACCAGCCCGGCTTGCAAGTTAGCCAAGCATCGCGTGTTTTGGTGGTCTTCTAGGTTTTCTTTAGGCTTTGACATTTCATATACGTGGCTATAAGGAGGTGGTGCCTTGTCCTAGTTCCATGTAAGTTGCAATTCTCAGGGAAGGCAGTGGATTCTCGATCGGGGGGATTGGGTTTTGGGTAAGAAAATTTGTCCTTAGTCTCATCTGCTCAGCAGCTGGGATCTTGCTGTCGCCCTGCTTCGCGAAAGCTCGTCGACCTAAAGCCCCGGGAAGAACCAGCACGACATTGACGAAAGACTCGAAACAAAACGCCAGCGAGAACAGCGATGGCGTGTTGGAAAGTGTTACGCCATCCCACGAGGAACGCACCTCGATGACGCGACTCGACATTCCCCCAGTCAGACCGTTGAGGTCAACGCAGTCTCACATAAAATAGGGAAATTTGCGCTAATCGATGCGAAATCGCGAAATCCAGCCCAGCACGCAATCCGCATTTCGTACAGCCCACCTATGTTCGGGCGAGTCACGACTCACTGTTCCCACTTCTTCAGTTGTTGGGAGGACCCCTCCTGGAAACTCTACCCAGCAGCAGCACTGTCTGTACTACAAACCCGCTTTCTCACAGTGAAGGCTCAGATCAGCCTGAGCTTCAATCTTCTCATAGTGACAATCTGCTCCAGTTTATTGCCTTCTATAATAGCAGTAGAAAAGAATCATGGGGGGACTAAATCGCGGGCGCGTTTTGGATGAAGAGGATGACGGTTTCACCTCCTCTCACTGGGTTCCTGTCTCTCAAAGAAAAGCCAGCAGCGGCGAGACGTCCAAGCCGAACGCTGTGAGGCGAGCCTCGAGAACAGAACTATTCCGGAGAGATCCCGAACGCGCAGGAGGAGCAGGTCACCGGAACGGTCAGATTGAATTTGGTAAATATGGCGAGAATGCAATCAGAGGTGATTCGAAAATGGAGTCCATTCAAGACCTGGAAGCGGAGGCTTTGGAGAAAAGCCACGTGCTGACGTCAGCGACTGAAGGACTGCTGCGTATAACGGAGACGACCAAAAGCGTGGCTGGAAAGACCCTGGAGGTCTTGAAGGATCAGGGCGAGCAGATTCAAGGAATCCACGAGAAGGCCCTTGTGGTCGACCAGGAAATGGAAAAGGTAAGCATTTTCTTCCTGAATTTCTACGATGCGGCTACAGATGCATTCAAGAGCTCAATGAGGTTCCATTAAAAAGGAAGACGCCAGTTTCAGAAAGGGTGGCTTCCCCTCCCATACACCCCCCCCCCCCCCCCCCCCCCCCCCCCCCCCCCCCCCTTTTTTTTGGCACAGTCGGAAACGCTCATTGCCAAGCTTGGTGGGATCAAGAAGCTCGGTTGGAGGTTCACGCATGGGCGACGGATCCAGGGGCCCAGCTCCTCCGGAGAGAGCCATCGTGGTACCACTGCTCGCTCTGACCACGTTGACCGCGTTGGCCACGATGACCTGAGAGCAGGTGTATCTGAAACAGTCAACCGCTCTGCTCTCGGGCTAAGCAGGAGGCCGGGTCAGGGGCAAACTCTAACCAAACCCTTCACTGGACCTGGGATGCAAGGCTCCACTGCTGGGAGCAATGCCAATGTGTTAGGATCAAGACCCAAGAGGGAAGGACTCTCCGCACTTGATGTCGTCAAGGTTAGTACGGCATGCATGCTTTTGCGCAGCGTTGTTGCACTTATTTACGCTTGGGTCTATTGCGGGTGATCTTACTGCTGCATGCATGATAGACGTATTCCAAGCCTGTGTGTTCTCGCATGTAAAATGCAGGAAGAGCAACGTTATCAAGATGGCATTCTTGACCAAGTTAGTGAATCTCTCGTGACACTGAGGTCAATGGCTGAACGCATGGGAACTGAGATGGACAGGTGTGTGCCACCCCACATTGCTTTGCGCATGGTTGTACATGACGTTGGCCATCAAGTGGTTTCTCTTTGCGAGAAACTCCGCCGTTTCCCCGTGCCCCGCTTGTTAATCTACCACCATGCCAACGAAATTGCATCTTTCTTACTGCATTGCTCACGTTGATTGCATCATGTACCTCCCCTCGTCCATCAGTCATGTGGAGGCGCTAGCGAAATCCAACACGGATGTCGACAAGGTGGTAGCTTCTACAAAGGAGGCAAATCGCCGGCTGGGCATCCTCAATAGGAGGGTCTAGTAGTGGATTTCTGTAAAAATGAAGTTTAGCCATGTAGGACGAATGTATTTTTGTTGATGTGAGTTGGTTATGACATTTTTTTTCTGTACACCTTATAGCGTCATACAGATTACATACACCAACTAACCTCTACCCAATCTCAGGCGTTTTTCCAAGTGGTTATTCGTGTCTCTCTGACACCACCACCATTATCCATGCCTGCTTCTTTCTCCTCCCCAGTTTCCCTAGTCACCAAATTGTTAGCCATTGCCGCACCACGGCTGTCGCTCTGCGATTCGTTCGATTCCGCCTCTCTCGCCGTGTATTGCGACAGACAATGCCCTATAGCGAATCCGAGGGCAAACCCTAGCTCTTGTAGAAATGAGGCCCCACGTTGCGCCGTTTGAACCCTAATGGCCGATATGGGTAATACCGAGTTCGTTACTAACGTGTACGTAGTTGACCGTGCGCGGTTCTCAGTCCGTTCGTGGTTGCCGCCCCTTTCGCTCGTCGCAGCTCTCCTCGTCCTGGTCTCCGTTTTAGGGTTACCTGACCGACTTACGGTCTTACGGACGAATTTTATTGCTAATGAAGACGTCAATAACGAGGACCGACCTCGAGTGCCCTCACCTTTACCCCGCCGCCCGTCTAGCAAGTTGCTGAAGATAGGCGATGCGCCGTCCCTAACCGTTACCGCGCCGTATTCGGAGCTCGTTGCTTCTGCGAACGCGAACGATTTCCGTAACGATTTCCTTGGAGGGTTACCCGAGGATGGTTACCGCCGTCTCGGCGGCACGGCCGCTGCCACGAATACAAACGCGGACAGACCGCCGCGTATTGGTGGGACGGCTGGGGGTGCGGGCGCGGGTGCGGGTGTGGGTGCGTCTCAGGCATTGGAGACACGACGGTGGTTGCGAGGAGAGCGAGCTACAGCCGCAGGTGAAGTCACCGATGCTGCTACAACCGAAGCTGCTACAATCGGGAGAAGTCTGGAAGAATCCGAGAGCGAGGCAGATACGGATGGTGATGATGATGATGACGGGGTGGATGATAACGAGAAAGCACGCGACGCTTATAAGGAGGAAGCTGATAGGGAGGATGAGAAGGGGGATGGGAAGGAGGAGGAGGAGACGGGGGATGAGGAGGATGACAGCAAAGGGGATGGTGATAATGGAGTAAGCGAGGATGACAATATCGGGGATAATGATGGGGAGAATAATGATGGGGAGGACAGTGAGGGGGAGGATGGGGACAGCCACGGGGATGAGAAAGATATGTTAGGCGATGAAGAGGATGCTTATAAGGGGGACATTGAGCAGGATGATGGAGAGGATAACAGCGGGGAAAGCCACAGGGAGGTGTTCGGTGATAAGGAGGATAGCTATAAGGGGGACAACAAGGACAATGGGGACAATGAGGAGGACGATGGTGAGGATAATAAAGGGGAAGACAATACAGGGGATAATGGAGAGGATAGTGATGGAGAGGAGACCGAGGAGGAGAGGAGAGACAAGGAGAAGAAAGGGGCGGAAGGGCAATTGAGGACGAAGGCGAGTAAGGACGAACGGAAAGCAAGGAGTAGGGAGGAGAAGGCAAGGAGGGCAGAAGAGAAGGCGAAGAGGAGGGAGGAGAAGAAGAGGAGGGCAGAAGAGAAGGCAAGGAGGAAGGAGGAAAGAAAGAGAAGGAAAGCTGAGAGGGAGGCAAAGAAGCAGGGAGGAGAAAGGACAGATGAGGAGCAGAGGGAGGAGGAAAGGGAGCACGAGGGCAAGCAGAAACTGGCAACGGAGAAGAGTGAAGTTGATGACGTGGAGAAGCAAGAGGAGACACAGGAAGGGGCACACGATGAGACACACGATGAGACACACGATGAGACACACGATGAGACACACGATGAGACATACGATGAGACACACGATGAGACACACGATGAGACACACGATGAGACACACGAGAAGCAAGAGGAGGTGAAAGGGGTGACAGAAGAGGAGGTGAAAGGGGTGACAGAAGAGCAGGTGAAAGGGGTGGCAGAAGAGGAGGACCACACGGAGGTAGAGGGGGAGGTAAGGGGGGAGGTAGATGGGGAGGCAAAAGAGAGGGTAGGAGAGGAGAAAGGGGAGGTGCAAGAGGAGGACGAGGAGGGAGAGCAGGGAGAGCAGGGTGAGGGTTTGAGTAACAAGGGACCTGAGGTTGGTACTGCAAGTGGTGATGTGGGCCCTGCAGAGAGAGCGAATAATGACGGAGATGAGGGTAGTACGGCTGATAGTAGGGGAGATGAGGTTAATAACAGTGAGTGTGACAATAGTGAAGGGGAGGGCGGAGGAGAAGAGCATGATGACAAGTCTGCTACAGTTGCTGCAGGCAGTGAGAGCAGTTATGGCGGAGGAGGTGTGGGGGGGGATTCGAGACCTGGTGGGGCTGATGTCGGCAGTGACAGCAAAACAAATAGTGGAAGAGGTGTTGAGGGGGAGTTGAGGGCTGATGGCGCTGATGTCGGCAGTGAGAGCAGTGGGTCTCCCTCTCAAGAGGGTGGTGGGAGTGAGGATGATGAGGAGACGGGGGATGACGAGGGAGGGGCAGGAAATGAGAGAGGGAGTGGGGGTGATAAGAGTAGGAGCAATATGCAAAACGCGGAGGATGGTGAAGGAGAAGGGGAAGACGGAGAGAAGAGCGAGGGGGGTCAAGGAAAAGGGAATGCGGAGGGAGGTGAAGGGGAGGACAGCTGGCTGGCGGGATGGGGAGCCAATCAGGATGAAGGTTGGTTGGAGGAGTCTGGAGAGACAGATGTGACGGATATCCGTGTCGCCCCTAAAATCGGAAGCAGTCTCAAATTAACTGATGCTAACCCACTGACAGATGGCCTGCGGCTGGTAAAGGATATGAAGCAAGCACCATAAGTTAGTTGCGTTATTGTGGCCCATAAAAGCACGCGCTAAAGTTTAGAGTTATCTGTTGTTCTGTACTACAGATTTGGAAGCTTGTATCCGTACCGATTTCAGAACAGCGCATATTTCTGGTTCGACCCGAGCTGACATTCCACGCTACAGCCAATCATACGCGAGCATCTGTGAGTCCCCCGTGCCTCGCTGGGCAAACCTTCCTGAACCGCGACACGGAAAATTGGAGCAAGAATGCGTCGAATTCCACTGGGCGCGCAATTATTGGAATGGGACATGGGAAATGGGAAATGGAATGGGATGGGATGGGATGGGCAATGGGAAATGGGATGGAGTGTGCCGCAGCGCCAAATGCCCGACGACGTTCAGCCATGATTGGGTGGAACGTTTCTGGAGCCGCAATTGTTTTAACTTGTAATTATAGGAAGTGTGCACAATGCCGAATGCCCGACGATGGTGGCTACAACCTGCTCACTGAGCGACTCCCGTAGGCATTCCTTCCGAGAGAATCCCGCTCTCGGTACTGGGGGTATTTAGGAGCACGTCCTTCTCAGTTCCTGCACTATCTCCTCTACGGAGCAGCGTACTACTAGATCCTCAACCGTACCCATACGATATACTACATACTTCATACCCATACTTCGGTACCTTCTCAGTTCCAGCACATCTCCTCTACTGAACGTACTAGATCCTACCCCTACTACATACTCTCATCAGAGTTCGGTAATCTTCATCAGATCTGATCCCCGCGCGCAGCTGCTACGCTCCTAAACGGGTCTTTCGCAAGCCTGCTTCGAATTCCCGCACGTCAGCTTTACGCTTACTAGCTTCGCGAGCGTCGCTTAGCTTCGCGAGCTTCGTCAGCTGCACCCCCAGGTGTTCTTCGAGTAAGAAACCCGAACTCGGCGCGCAATCGTCGTGGCTGGAAAGTTTCCGTCCATGGCGCCGGCTTTCGCGGCGGTGCTGTTCGCCGTGGCCTTCTACGGCGCGCTCTTCGCGTCGGGTGCGGCGGCGCAGAGTAACTGCGTTGTATCGACTCTCCATGGATACGACGTGGAGGTGCAGCTCACTGACAGGTGCGCTCTCCCTGAATTGCTCTTTTGGTTGGTGCCGCATTCCGTCGATTCTCTTTCAATTCCGACCGAGAGTGGCGGCGCCGCTCACTGAAAGCTGCGCTCAGCTGCTGACGTCAACTACTCCCTAGAAAAACTTTGCAGAAATCGCATCGAGCGACCTCAAATGCGTGGATCGCCCACGCGCCCTACTAGGCAGAAATGCACCTTTGTCGGCTGGACGCCACTCGACCTACCTCGCATTTGTGAACGTTCGACTGAAATTGCATGCTCTTCTGTTTTCTCCCCTTGCCCCCTCGAAAATACGCCCGCCCCCAGTCTCTTTCTCCACTGGAAGACGCCCAACTCGACGGAGCTCCACCTCGCCCTCGAGACGTACACCTCTGGCTGGGCGGCAGTGGGGTGGTCGCCGGACGGCAACATGGCCGGCAGCGACGCGGTGGTTGGCAATCTCGAGGAACGGGCGGCGGACGGCACAGAGGTCAACGGGTCGGGCCTGCCGGCGGCTTATAAGCTCGTGTCGACCTCCGCCGGCGGCCAGGAGCGCGTTGGGGAAATGAGCTCTTTCCTCGGGGGGGCAAAGGGCCGTGCGGTGACAGGCGCCGCGACTATCCTCGAGTGAGTGGCGATTGTAACAAGAGTGTTGACTGTAACGAGAGCAGCGATCAAGCGAGCTGAAACATCACGATTATATCCTCGAGTGAGTGCGCTGCAGACGTGCCCCGTGCCCTTCTTAAACCTTTCATTCTGGTCCTAGACTGAACTTATAGCCACCTATCGATCTCCCATGGTAATATTTCTGTTTGGCTGCAGATTCACTCGCACGGAGGGATCTGGAAACGTGCCAGTGAAGCTGGCGGGCCCGTCCAACATCATCTTTGCGTACTCCGGGGACAGCTCGAGAACTTTTGGTTATCACGGCCTAACAAGGTACCCAATTCCAACCCCGAATTCTGTGTGCATCTAGCTTCACCTGTTGCGCCACCGTCACTCGCAACCCTCACTCGCCACCCTCACTGGCCACCCCCACTTCCCACCCTCACCCTGCTGTGCCATAGGCATAAGAGTGTTGCAGAGCCTCTAAGGCATATATGAGTTGTGCAACGCGTTGGTTTTCTGTGGTTTCAGGGGATCCACGGTACTTGATTTCTCCTGCACCGTGGGAGGGGCACCGATAGAAGCACCCGGGAGCGAGCCAGCACCGATCGAAGCACCCGGGAGCGAGCCAGCACCGATCGAAGCACCCGGGAGCGAGCCAGCACCCATCGGAGCACCCGGGAGCGAGCCAGCACCCATCGGAGCACCCGGGAGCGAGCCAGCACCCATCGGAGCACCCGGGAGCGAGCCAGCACCCATCGGAGCACCCGGGAGCGAGCCAGCACCCATCGGAGCACCCGGGAGCGAGCCAGCACCCATCGGAGCACCCGGGAGCGAGCCAGCACCCATCGGAGCACCCGGGAGCGAGCCAGCACCCATCGGAGCACCCGGGAGCGAGCCAGCACCCATCGGAGCACCCGGGAGCGAGCCAGCACCCATCGGAGCACCGGGGAGCGAGCCAGCACCCATCGGAGCACCCGGGAGCGAGCCAGCACCCATCGGAGCACCCGGGAGCGAGCCAGCACCCATCGGAGCACCCGGGAGCGAGCCAGCACCCATCGGAGCACCCGGGAGCGAGCCAGCACCCATCGGAGCACCCGGGAGCGAGCCAGCACCCATCGGAGCACCCGGGAGCGAGCCAGCACCCATCGGAGCACCCGGGAGCGAGCCAGCACCCATCGGAGCACCCGGGAGCGAGCCAGCACCCATCGGAACACCCGGGAGCGAGCCAGCACCCATCGGAACACCCGGGAGCGAGCCAGCACCCATCGGAGCACCCGGGAGCGAGCCAGCACCCATCGGAGCACCCGGGAGCGAGCCAGCACCCATCGGAGCACCCGGGAGCGAGCCAGCACCCATCGGAGCACCCGGGAGCGAGCCAGCACCCATCGGAGCACCCGGGAGCGAGCCAGCACCCATCGGAGCACCCGGGAGCGAGCCAGCACCCATCGGAGCATCCGGGAGCGAGCCAGCACCCATCGGAGCACCCGGGAGCGAGCCAGCACCCATCGGAGCACCCGGGAGCGAGCCAGCACCCATCGGAGCACCCGGGAGCGAGCCAGCACCCATCGGAGCACCCGGGAGCGAGCCAGCCCCCATCGGAGCACCCGGGAGCGAGCCAGCACCCATCGGAGCACCCGGGAGCGAGCCAGCACCCATCGGAGCACCCGGGAGCGAGCCAGCACCCATCGGAGCACCCGGGAGCGAGCCAGCACCCATCGGAGCACCCGGGAGCGAGCCAGCTTCCATCGGAGCACCCGGGAGCGAGCCAGCACCCATCGGAGCACCCGGGAGCGAGCCAGCTTCCATCGGAGCACCCGGGAGCGAGCCAGCACCCATCGGAGCACCCGGGAGCGGGCCAGCACCCATCGGAGCACCCGGGAGCGAGCCAGCACCCATCGGAGCACCCGGCAGCGAGGCGGCACCGATCGGCACAGCTCGTCGTCTTCTTCGTGTGCATGGGCTCCGCGGTTGCTGATTTCCCTTGCAAGGCACTACCCAGCCCGTCGCCACGACCCCCCCCAGCTGATCAACATGCCTCCTGCCTAAGGCACGAGGATTGGCTCTCAGCCGTGCATCTTGGCTGGTGTCCGTGGCAGTGCTTGCTGGCCTGGCTCCTTCTCTTTTGCAAGTAGCCTTGGTGATGGCGTGCATGCCTCATGCGATCAACCTTGCCAATAAAATGCATGCCCATGTTTTCTAGTGATGCCTCAATAAAATATATTTGTTCCAAATGCATCTTTTGCAGCAGGACAAGAGCTCCACCACTCATGCAGCCTATATGGTTAGCAGTTTGGTGTGATGATTGTGTGCTGTCATGCTCACCTTAGGCCACATAAGATATAGTTTGAACAAGCCTCCATTTTGAAATCATAACGAGGCTCAAAACGGCTTGGTTGGGTGTATTAAAGCCAAGCCGTGGTATAGAGTGGTGGCGATAAGAACTTATGAAAACAAAAATGTAAAATCACACACCCCCTTCTGTGATGCTTGCGTGAAAATACAGTTTCAACGAATGGACTCATAGTGTAGCCCCAAGACCAATGTAAGGAAAAGCCCCTTTCCTTACTGAGCCTCGCTAACATCGAGTTCGGGCCTGACTTTCGGAAGTCCAGGCCAGGGTCCTCGCAAGGTTTTGAACCAGGGCTTGTGTTATGTTTTTTAACAGCTCTGGCGCTCAGGGCCGTAGAGAGGCAGGGGAGGTGGCGGTGAAGGAGGCGCAGGCGGGGGGACGGGGAAAGGAAGACCGAGGAGGCGAAGGGCCGGAATGGTGGCGACTGCTGCTGCTGCGGCTCCACGATGACACTAGAACCTCCAGCTGCACCACATCTACCTTCGAGAAGCTCCACGCCAAGACACCCTCAACGCGAACCCTCTCTAGCACCGGTGCCACCCCATGACCCGTGGACCCCTGCGGCAGCTGCTGCTGCGGCGGCGACGACTGCGGCTGTGGCCGCAGCGGCGACTGCTGTGGCTGCGGCTGCAGCGTTGGCGATGGTAGCTGCTGCTGCGGTGGCAACGATGGTTGCTGCGGCGACAACGGAGGAGGATACACTGGGGCAGAGACCGGTGGCGAGGACGGAGCCGCGCGACCACCAGAGTCAGACAACTCCTCGAGCGGGACAACCGACGGGAGGGGAGTGACGTGAGACACACCAGATGAGGCAGGACGGGGGGGGAGAGGAGCAGAGGCTACCAGGGGAGCGGGAACCAGAAACAGGGGCGGGAAAACCACGAGACCTCTGTGAGGAAAGTGATGGTAGAAGGAGACAGACTTGTCCTAGGTGACGTTACGCGAGTGAAAAAAGCGGTGGGACGACGGGTGGTAAAAGTGCTTGTCGGATGAGTCGAGGGGGAAACCTAGGAAGACACAAGGG